TGCACCACCAACATCAAACGCAGCATCAGATGCAACAACATCAGCAGCAGCAGCAGCAGCAGCAGCAGCAGCAGCAGCAGCAGCAGCAGCAGCAGCAGCACCATCATCCACTTCAGCAGCCTCTCCAAATTCAGATCCCTGTTACCTCCATGTCATCCGGACAGACTTCAGGTGCAGCGATGCTCCAGCAGGGGGCGCTGCAGATACAGATCCCTCATCCACCTGCTGATTTAGTGGTTGAGAGAGCATTGGGGGTTGAACACGAGCACCTCCTGAAAATCAAAAGCATGCGGCAAACTCAACAGCTGGCTGAAGGCGATACATTGGTGTTTAGTGCCCCTCTGGAGCTCAGTAAGATGAACCCCCCGCCCCCCTACCCCGGGACAGTGGCTGCCGCTGTAGCAGCTGCAGCAGCTGCTGCCGCCTCAGCATCCGCTGCAGCCTCCAGTCTTGCATCTGGATCAGGAGGGGGCCCCAGTGGGACTCCTCCCCCTGGAGAACTGTCACTAAAGAAGGGCGAGTTCTCACTTTATCCTTCAGGTCAGCAACAAGCTCAGTACCCCACACCCCTGGGATATGAGAGGATAACAACATTTGACAGCAGTGGCAATGTGGAGGAAGTATGTCGTCCTCGAACACGCCTTGTCTGCAATCAGAATGTGTACACACTCCAGGGACCTGGCAGCTCCGCCACTCTCAGGGTCACCTCCTCCTCCTCAGCTGACAAGAAGAACCAGCTTCCCTACACCTCTGCCACACTCAACAGACTCACCGCACCTCGCTATTCCATACCCAGCGGAGACCCGCCCCCGTACCCTGACCCGGCTAATCAGAACAGTGCTGTTGGCAGGAACCCTGGACAGAGGCTTGACAGCAGTTTGATCCACGCCACTCTCAGGAGGAACAGCCGAGAGGCCGCTCTCAAAGTCTCTCAGATGCTGGAGGCGCCCAGGCCACTGCCTCCGAAGGCTAAGAACAGTAGTAGTAGTTCACTAGCAGCCTCCTTCCAGCAGAGGGTGCCAACAGCCTTATACACGTGCAGTCAGTGTAGCAGCGGATCTAGTGTCGGAAGCACTGCCCCAGGGAGCACTAATGGAATAGCTGGAGGAACTATAATCAGGCAGGATTTCCCTCCGGGCAACGGGGCACCACACAGCACAGTCATTGTTCACTCCAACAGCACCACTTCTCTGGCCTCGCAGTCCTCTTACAGCCTGCTGAGCGCTCTTGAAGGATCTGGGATCACAGGAGGAGGAAGTAACAGAGACAGGGCAGATTATGTGAATTCAGCATTTACTGAGGATGAAACACTGAACCAGTCATTGAGGAATCTGGCGCTAGGAGGAAATGATGCATCAGGACTAGTTGTGAAACGCCCACCTCCCTATCAGTGGGACCCAGCAGCCACAGAGGAGGTGTGGGTTCCTCAGGAACGGACAGCCACCCTGAGTACTGCTGGACCCCCCGGACCCCACAAACCACCTCCACTTATTCTTAGCCCTGCTCAGCACTTAGATGTGTCCAGGCTGCCTTTTGTCCTCTCTCCAAAGTCCCCCACCAGTCCAAGTGCTGCTTCATTTCAAGCTGCTGCGGCAGCCGCAGGATACCAAATCTCTCTCCAGTACCCTCCATCCTCTGCCTATCCTGGGGCCCAGCTACAGCCCATCCAAGGGTCCTCACGCCCCTGCTCCTCCCCAAAGGAGCTTGTTGCACCAGTACCCTTCTCACAGCAGGATGCAACCCTTGTCTTACCGCCTGGTTACCATGCAAACCTGGCAAACCTCACCTGCTGCCCTCTTCCACCCCTGTATCCAGGAGGAAGTTCTTGTGCCGGCCTCCCTATTCCCTCCATTGCCCTCCACACTCCTTGGGGTACATATAACTCTTGCCCTCCTATGTCCAGTCCTGCAGTGCCACTACCACCCAAAGCCTCCCACATGGCAGTAGACAAAAATGTCCTTTCGCCTCCTCCTCCACCCCCACCCCCTCCACCTCCACCTCCACCAGTAGAGCTGCAGGAGGCCATGGCAGACGCCGGGGAAGGCTTCCAGGAGGTGCTCTCCTTGACCGAGAGCCCTGTCCCACAGCGGTCTGATAAGTTTGTAAAGAAAAACCGCAAGCGAGTGGATGGGCGCGCCGAGGAGGTTAACGTGCCGCCTTTGCCTGAAGGGAGCAAGTCGAAAAAGGAGAGCAGAGCTTTGGGTGATTTCAACTCCCTTATCTCTAGTCCAAGGCTGGGAGGGAGGGACAAGAAGAAGCTGAAGGGACAGAAAGAGCAGCAGCTGAAGGCCAAGAAGCTGAGTAAGGGCACTGCCAACAGTGAGTTCCAAGACAGTTCAGAGAGTGAGCCAGAGCTCTTCATCAGTGGAGATGAGCTGCTCAATCAGTGCCAGAGTGGTAAGAAGGGCTGGAAGAGTAAGAGGAACCTGAGGGCTGCCAATGAGCTGGACGAGATAAAGTGTCGGAAGGCCAACGAGAAGGAGGACCGAGGGCTGGGCAGCCAGGGCTTCGTGTACGTCATGGCAAACAAGCAGCCACTGTGGAATGAAGCCACACAGGTGTACCAGCTGGACTTTGGTGGGCGCGTCACACAGGAGTCTGCCAAGAACTTTCAAATTGAACTGGAGGGCAGACAGGTAAGAGAGCTCTTAGTTAAAAAAATATCCCTCTCTCCACGATATTCATATGTATAGTTATTTGAAACACTGGGATATCTGTATTCATTGTTTTCTTTGTTTGTTTCTCTACACAGGTGATGCAGTTCGGCAGGATAGATGGCAATGCCTATATCCTGGACTTTCAGTATCCCTTCTCTGCTGTGCAGGCCTTTGCAGTGGCTTTAGCCAATGTTACTCAACGCCTCAAATGAGATGTCCCCTCCCTACTTACCCTGAGTTATATCTGGGATTTAAATGCAATCTGTTGGAGGGGCACAGTTGTTTCATTTGAGATTAATAATCTTTGATTTAGAGAGGAGACTTAAATCAGCCCGGGTTCATAGAAAGAGATACAATCATTCTGCACTACACAATGCTGCCACTAGAGTTGGTGCAATAAGCATTGCTTGCATTTGCCAAGGTCGCCCTCAGTCAGTGGCTCCTTGCAATGCATGTAGGGCCAAAGAGCTGAGCTTTGGTAATCATCATGCAAATAAATGCTGCTTTAGCTAGTAGAAGCTTATAGACATGATAACCTGTAAACAGAGAGGAATTGTCGAGGTGCAGTTTTCAAAAGAAGCAGCAGTAATACTTGAAAACCACACTCTGGAGATCACAGTTGTTTATTTCCCAGAGCGCACAGGTACTACTGGGCACTGAAATCCATTGCTGTACAAACTTCAGTGAAACAGTTACCACTTTATTATACTGCTTTTGCTTTTAGGATTTTATTAAATGGCAGAGAGTAGGAGGGTCTTTTTGTTTTTACTCTCTGCCATTCCTTTTGTTACTATCTCAATACTATCTTGGCTGGAATTGAGGCTTAGATATATGCATCATTTAGGAGCACTACTAAGAGGTCACACTTTTCACTGTAGTAAAAGGTGTGTCACTGTTAAACACTTGGGAAGGTCGAGGAGTAAATATAGATGAGTTGAACTGCAGTCGTTTCCACATAGTTTCCTGGGACTTTGAAGGAAGAAGAAATGTTACTCCGCTACATGGATTAATTTAAATGTAATGTACATTTTGTTCTTTATCTATTCAGATATGAATTTTAACGTTATTGTCATTGTTTGTGATATCCAATCTTCATACCCTGTCAACATTGTTTTCAACTTACCTGTTTTATTTGGGAGAACTAGGGGCTGAATTTGAATATTACTCTGTAGTCCAGAATAATTCAGGAGGGAGGGGTGGACTGAATAGCTTTGACTGATATATCCTGTACTTAGGGAAATACCTACATACGCTGACATTGTCGTAAAAGAAGTCGCCAGGCCTGGATTGAACAACTTAACCTCTGGCATGATGTGATTTGTCACCTGCTGCCACTTCTGTGAAGTGAGTGTGTAGTTTGCTCCTGCTCTTCAAATACCACACTAAACATACAAGCAAGGTACAGGAATTATTTTTGTATATTTCACCTATGCCATTTCATACTCTTTTCAGAAGTCATGTAAATACATATCAGTCATGATGTAAATGTTGTAAAGAGACTTGGGTGACTTTGACAGATGTCTGTTTACGCCTGTCTCCACTGTGTTTTAAGTGTCATTTCAGGTGTGGAGCGTCGCTGTAGTACTGTTCAGCTCAACAGCTACAACCACAAACAAAAACAAGTTAAGACTTAAGCTGAAATCATTGTCACTGAATCTTTGAAGTCAGAACTCCAATGAAGGATGAAGCTATTGAAATCTGTTCATTTAGAAAGCTGACACTAATATCTGAAAAGCTGTTTTTTTCTTTCTTCTTTAAGGCAGTCACGCTTGTCTTTGTGTTGAACTAAGAACACAGAGCAGGATAGGAGCATGGGCAGTCAATTATTAGCCACATTGCCAAAATAAATAAATAGATTTTTATCAATTTAAAGGAATACTTCATCATGTTGACCTTGAAACCTTGAAGAAACAACAACAAATTGTAAATCGTAATGAGTAATTGATGTACAAATTATCATTACGGGGTTGAAATATTCCTTAAAGCTGGTAGCCAAACAAAAAAGGGCAGTAATATTGGGTAGGTGAGATCATATTCACCTTTAACTTTTGTGCCAAAATATCCATTTGCTAAGATTTATAGTAAAAAAATGGGCCTAGAAGAAAGTGTAACTTGATATAAAGAAATGTATAACTTTGGACCAGCTATGTTTTGGTCTTTGAATTGATGAGATTATTAAATTCTTTAGTGTGAGCTTTATTTATCACAACCAGATGCATGTCTGTCAGAGGGGGTGGGGGCTGTAGGGATGGGGGATACAATACATAATTAAAAAAGTCTCTTCTGATCCAAAAAAAAGAACATGAGCATGTCATGAAGAAAATATCCATTTTCTGTGTTAGTTGTGCAATATTTTCTTGGGAGGGGGGGGTCCTTTGTTATCACTTTTGACCACAGTTTGATACCATTCTTTTAGTTCAGCATCTCAGTTGCATTTTATTTATGAGATTATTTCCTGAAGGAGATATAGTATCTATACATACTGTATATTGTGGAGTTTTCTGAACATTTCCTTGTGTTGATAAAACAGGTGGTTACAAGTGTAGCTCAGACGATGAGATGGGGTTTGGTCGGGGGCGGGGTTCGGGCAAGTTTTCTGTGTTTTGTGAAGTTTGCTTTGGATGGAAAGATGTGAATGAGTAAGTGCCCAGTTTAGTGTAGTTGGTAGACTAGTTATGTAGAGTGTAACTGTTAAGTCAAGGTGTGTCTGTATTCAACTGTGCAGTCTACCAATCCCATCAGTGTTAAATCTATTATCTTTAAACGTGTGTGTTCATGGCTTCTTACACATACACACACATCATTCACTCACAAGTGTAAACCACTGAGTTCATGTTCAGAATTGCCTCTATGGACTTAGGTTAAGGATTCACTTTAAACGGATTTTACGAGATGACCTGTTGTAGATATTGTAGGATTTGGCTTTTCTTTAGAAAAGGTATGTGCTTTGTATTTGTAGTTGTAGACTTAAATGACAAAAACACTTGAAAAGAATCTGAGTCTGATTTGGTGACTGAACGTTTATAGTGAATGGATAGTAAGGCATGCCATGTAAATTATTTTATAATTGTATATGTCACGCATCTTTTGAATAAAACGTCATTGTTTCCGAAATAAGATGTGTCCTGTCTCTTAAATATATTCAGTATTATGTTGAATTTATAGATGGGATTATTATTACCCTGCCAGCTGGACTAGAGTTTACACAAGGTGGCTCTATTGTGTCAAACAGCAAACATTATGATATTTCATAACAGGAGAAGCACAGGTGGAGGACAAAGTCAACTAAGCTCAATTTCCCAAATATATTCTGGCCATGTCAGACAAACCTGACAACGTGGACTCGGGTAAATTTACTTTTTCACAATTATGTTTTATAGTTTTAAGTTATAGTCATACTTGTGAAAAGGTGTCTAATGTCTCACAATTTAGCTTTCTATAGCTACTATTTATGAAAGAAACTCATCATTACAAAAAAATGTGTAAGAATTGTATGTTTTTGCTATGATTAACCATAATTTACTGGGTTTCTACTTCTGCCCATGTACTGCTATGTTCTGCATACGTTTCTGTGTTTTAATTTGACTGTAATTGATATGCATTACATCATTATTATTTTAAAAAAAAAAACAGCTTCCTTGCTTAGTCTTGCCTATTTATGCACTGTCTTCAAGAATGAACCTGAATAAATACACACAAAAAAACTAAATGAGGGATCTCCACACCCCGACTAGACACTAATTTGGGTTTGGATATATAAAAATATACTCTATATGCTTTTATATTCGGAGTATGTAAAGGCAGTAACTAATGGTTGGTTATAGACAGGGGCGGTCTGGGACTACAAATCAGCCCGGGACTCTCGACCGGCCCACTTCGGTACCTCAAGTAAATACCGCTGGTCAATTGTCGACGGACGGACGGACGGACGGACGGGGTGCTAGTGACTTAACTCGGAGGTAGACATTAAGGGTAAAATGCATGCATTGTATTATCACTGGCCAACAAATAGACTACTAATGAATAAAATTAACACATTTGTTGCAATAGTAATTTATGCACTAACTACATTACTACTTGTACTACAACATTTGAATCATCAGTTCTTCCTCATTTTCCTCAATTGTTCATATTTGGTTTATTAAAATAATGATAGTGTGGTCATTGTTAAAAAATGTCTGCTATTATGAGTGTTATTATTTGTATAATGCACTTTCTGCCTTCCTGTCATTAGGAGTTAGAAATGTAATGGCTATGTAATAGATTAGATTAGAACCTTCATTATCCTAAACTGCTGGGACATTTCGCCAATACCTTTATATTGTCTACTCTTCACTTACTTGTCAGCATAGGTCGGCATTGATGTACAGAGCCGACAGAAGACCTTGTTTATATTGGCATCATATTGAGAGGTGCAGTGACGCGTCCTAAAACCAGGAAGTAAGCTGCTGGTTCCCTCGACAGAAAGCAATGGGATTTCTCCACAGGGTTTTGGAAAATAGCTGGAAATAAGGTCTGTGGAAAACAAACCTGTTTGATAAATGCACGTTTTGTTCAGCCGGATAATCTCCACATGTCTACCCTACTTTTATCATTTTCATGCTATAAAGGAACTACAGCCGAGTCCAGCAGCACTAAAAGGGTTTTAGGACGCGTCACTGCACTAGAAGCCAACTCCATCGATCAAGCTGGCTGAAACTTTCTCTCCCTCTTCTTCTCATGCTCCCTGTCACTGTCCTTAACTCCTCCGGTGACTTTCTTTTATTTGAGGATTGTTTTTTGCCCGGCGCTTGGCCGGTTACCGCTGGTATTAAGAACACTTTGGCGAATGGTTAGGTGGCGCGATAGTCTGTAGTGAAGGAGCGCGCTCACGGGAGCCTGCTCGCGCTGCGCTCCGCTGTTTGCTTTTCACCCAACAACGACAACCGACTCACGGGACGCCATGTTGTAGCGTTCATAAACGAAACAATTTAACTAAATTGCTAGTCAAAATACAAATACCACAGGACAATTCTTTTTTTTAAAGCAATATTTTTAGTGGCCTGAGCGGGCAAGTGGAAAGTACGTGATGCTGGCCCGGGGTGTCTAAATAGTGCTTCGGGGCCAGCGGGCCATTTATAATGTCGAGCCCTGCCGGTTACCGGCCGGCCCACATCGTCCGACCGGCCCACTTCAGTACCGGCCCATCGGGATTCGTCCCGAACGTCTCGACGTCCCGATGGCCAGTCCGCCCCTGGTTATAGACAAAAGGCAGCTTGTGAGTGGAGGACTAATATATTTGGATAAACCCCTGATAAAGATGTGTGTGTGGTGTCTCTGTCCGCGGTGCTGAACTCTGATCACGTGATCCTCCTCCCGTGTGTTTCCGCCCCCTCTTATCCTTTTTTTTCTTCCTTTGAACCGACACAAACAAAAAAGCTTCGGCTGCATTTTCAATTAAACGGCGTTAACAAAACAGCCATCATTGTGCTGCTGTCCACAGGCCTCGGTTTGTTTTCCCCTACGCCATTTTCATCCGGCAGACGGCTCGGTGTCTCATAATGGACGCAGACTACTCGTCCAGCCTGGAGAACCCCCTGTACAGCGAGCTGAAGTACTTCTGCAGGAAGATCCAGGAGGCCTACCACGAGCTGAAGGAGGACCTGACACCTTTCCGGGATGATCGCTTTTACAGGTGGCTCTCCTGTTTATCTACTCACACAATGGAGGATCAATTTCCCCCTGCATTACAGAAGCAAATATGTTTGGTTTTGTATGCTGTGACATAGGATTTAACAACCTGCACCTTCCAACAATAAGCGGAGCCTATATATTGTCAGCCTCACTGGTGATTATGGTTGATGCTAACGAGATGTGTTCATTACTTATTATGTGGATTTATATACATTTCATAATCTCGTTAGTTTATATTTTAGATGGTGCAGACTAAAGGGAAATAGCAGTCCTCATATGTATTCATTAAAAAAAGGTAAATAGGTGAATACTTTGCATTTGACACATTCTCAGTATCAGAATTAATATTTGACAATCTCACATTTATAAGGGGTAAAGAGGCCTTTGGATTCCTATCAATGGCAACAAGTGAAGGGATTGTATCTGCATTAGCTGGTGGTGAATAATAATAGGCATTTAAAAAAAATGTCATGTTGTCGTTAAAATGTAAAGACTAATTAAAATAATTAAAGTAACTAGCTCATTAATTCTTTTTTGTTTTTTGCTTGACGTTAACGTATGACGTGGTCGTATATTACGCATGCTGCCTGTGACTCTCTCACGTAGGGGACGTTCATCTCATGTTGTCAAAAGATATTTAAAAAGAAATGTTCCTCTGCCTCAACTTTTCTGACATTATCAGCAGTAGGGAAAAATTAAAGGATGTTTCCAAATGTAAAATTAACCTTTGATATGGTTGGATGATTTAAGCCATGACAGAACATTTGAGCAACATACATCATACATCTGTATATGTTTACAAGCCAAATACCCCTTACTGATTTGTCACATAGACTTTGTAAACATACGTTTTCAAAAATAATATACCAATAAAAAAAGCTATAGCATGTGTAAGGGTAATGTATTGCCTGTAAAGTATAATAATAATAATAATAATAATAATACATTGGATTTTTATAGCGCTTTTCCTATTGCTCAAACGCTTTACATAAAATCAGAACCGAAACAGTACAAAAGAGTTTGAAAACTAGAGTGAACAAGTGAGTTGTGTATGCAAATCTAGATAACAAACTGTACTTCAAATATTCCTTTTATATTTTAGCCATTTTTTTGTTTTTTATGTTTTTGACTTCCTGCATGTCATATCATGTTAAATATAGGATATTTTTTGTTTTACCAATCTTTTTGAGGGACATGAAAAATATGTTCAATGAAAATACGACCATCGACATACTACAAAGACTTAAAACGTATTTTTGCAGAATAAAACTAGTCTCAGCCACAAATACAAATATCACCTTTATATCTAACCTTCGAGCAGCAGCTTTAAATTGCGACCGCTTCTTAGCAAGTCCCTCTGAAAAGGAAAGCCCCTGTCACGTGATGCAGGCCCCTCCCCTTTGATGACGTTGCATTCCAGTAGTCTACACCGGTCGTCGCAGGCTGATGTTGATACACGGACTACACGGATGTGGATTCACTACCACATTTTAACGTTTTTCCTCGGTATTGAGACTACGAACCGACAGAAATGGAGCTGTAAGTTTACGCTTTGTTCAGCGGATACTCCCGGGATTTGTCCCCGGTGTTTTATATGTGTGGGAGACCCTGTAGGACACCAGTATGTAGCTGTTTTCTGACATCTGTTACTGCTAGCATAAACTAGCATGGATGCTAGCAGTGTTGACACATCCGATCCTTAATTAACCACAAAATAAACGTTATCTTTTGTGTGTTCTCTAACCAATGTCTTCCTATGACAGATTGGCCCCCATGCGGCTCTACACCCTGTCCAAAAGACATTTTGTCTTGGTCTTCGTTTGCTTTCTGATCTGCTTTGGCCTCACAGTCTTTATTGGGATTACAGGTATGTCTAATATAAACATGTCTGCAATACTGTGGCCCAAGCTGGGTGTTAGTCATAAGTCATTTTAATTAACACAGGTTTTTAGATACAAGAAAGAAAGTCCTTCTGCAATAAAGCATGATGGCACAATCAAAATTGTATTTTATTTGTATCACTACAATGCTTATTTCTGGATAGTCCAGTAATTCATATTGTAAAGAATGTGTCATTTATATGTGTTGCTTTTTTGTTTAGGTCCTAGGACTATTGCTGAGCAAGAGCACAATGGTGATCAGTTGGTTCTCAAAAACTTCTCAGTTAAGGTAAGGTAAAGTCAATCTGATTTATTGGGATGTTTTGTTATCATCACATACATTGTTGTTTACCCTGGGATTTATTCCGCTTTAAATTAATTTGAAACCTTTACATTTTGTGTTAAAAGAAAACCTTTACGTTTTGTTTTATGTTATAAGCAAACACGTCTACTAACTACTGGGATAACATGTGTAACATCCTGTGTGTTTAATGACTTGAGTATCCTTTTTAATGATGTCATTCATTGTATGTTTACAGACCGGGCCATTCAATCTAGTTTCTT